AAAATAAAATATAGCAAACAATAGCAAGGAAAGAAAAAAAAAACAGAAAACAAGCAATTAATCAGTAAAGTAAAAGAGCATTTTTGTCTTGACATTCTCTCCCTATCTAGGAAACACAGCAAAAACGAAGCATGATGCAGTGGAAGTTATGCAATGGAAATACTTCTAGCATTATTGTGTCCAACAGGGCAATTACAAATACAGTGACTAAACAATAATGGTACAAGGGAGTTGGGGTGGACAAGCTGATGGAGTTTAATATACAGAAATTGTCATGGCATGTGTCCCTGATGGGTGAGTAGGGAGTTGTTTTCAGATCAGTCTGAATCAGTAAGTTAGATGTTCCAACAAAACGTGAACACAGTGGAAATGTCTCTTTTGCCATTAGCAGTTAGTTGGAGCACAAAGCCCTTAGCACAGCCTTGTGCTTTGCAATCCTGCGTGGTGGCCACTACTCACACATCACTTTGGAGTGTAGGAAATGTGGTTAGTTCAGATGTGAATGTGTAGCATGAAATGTGCATTTGACTATAGAGTTAGTATGCTGAAGGAAAGACAATGTCTCATTAATGACGATTTTGTGTTGATCATTTGATTGATATTTTGTGTACAAATAAAAATACTGTTAAAATGAATTTTACCTGTTTTTCTCACTGTTTTCAATGTGGCTAACAGAAAATTTGAGATACATACGTAGGTTGCTTTCCTATTTCTCAGTTGATTTCTACAAGACATGACTGGATTGATATTCCCAAGTTGCAATTAGTAGAAGGAAGGAAAATGAAAAAAATATGTTCCAGAATATTAATCACAAGACTCGGCGGAGGGAACAGTGGTGAAAATTTGAGGGAGAAAAGTATCTTGATATTGTTGTGAGTAAAAATCCAGATACTTCAAGTGAACTCTGCGCAAGTGTAGGTGAAACTAGAAACAATAGCCGCTGGAGCTTGTGCTTGAGGAGTGTGTGTGTGTGTGTGTGTGTGTGTGTGTGTGTGTGTGTGACATTTACCTAAGGATGCTCTTGGGAAAACCCTGGAAGTTTTGAGGAGAAAACCACTGTTATCAGTACATGACACAAAGCATTGCCCACATCTGGCTACACGCAACAGTTAAGTACAGAGGTTCTGCATAGAGTGAAAGTTCTGAATGCTCGGTGATTAGCTGTGAACTTCACGACATCCTTTTTGAAGGACTCCCATCAAATACCACACGGCTCTGCACTGCAATTTGGAACTGCCTCAAACAGAACTGCAGCGTCTACCACGCCTGAGAAGCCAGTTGTGCCTCTCACTGAGTGTGGTTTCAACCAGGCTCGTCCTAGTAGGAAATATTTCAAGTCCTATTAACATGTCTGTTCCCTTAAAGGAAACCCTAGTTTTTCAAAACCTCTGCTTATGAAAGAGTCCTAGATTGAATAACATTTGTGCAAACCACAGGTTCCAAAAGAAAATGTACACATCAATCTGTCAGTTGTTGCCTTGTAAATGTGGGTTACTCCTATAGCAGCAATGCACTGATTTCAGCTATTCCTTGTGTGTCCTAGAGCTACTACGCATAGAGCTTACAGCAATGGACTCAACTGCCCCCCTTCGGTTTCTTCAGAAGGAAGCTGCGTTTCTACTTGTATTATAGGCCACTGATTATCTGATTTGTTTTTTAAGCGTTGTAAGGCAAGCTATACAGCCGTTCTAAGACTGTTTTATTCATCTCTAACATGTGGATTTTGACATGGAGATTGAGACATGGTCAGGATAGTCAAGAAGGACAACTTTGCGAGTGTCTGCCACTGCTCAGCCTATAGCAGGGACTCACAACACCATTTCTGAACAGCCTTTTCTTACACTTGATGCTCTATGATTACTTTTGAAGAGCAGCTGCAAAGGGCATCAGCTTTCGTCCACCGTGGTAAGAGTTTGGTTCTGATGTTGCCATTCACAGCAACAGCAACTCTGAGCAGGCAATAACGCTGAACAGGTTATTAAGCTAAGAAATCTAAGTCAGCAGCCCAAAGAACAATTGTGAAAGTGTTTCTAGTGCTCAGTGGGTGTTGGCTCTTTGTAGCTCATTTGACAGAATGTTGGCTGCAGTTACGACTGGGGTTTATCACACACCGTGTCCTCACATCTTGGTACTGTTCAATTCGCTCATCACGTATTCATCAAAAACTTGATGGAGCTCCTACAAGGTGACAAGTCCTGTTCAAGCAACTGACAATGTAGCTTTGGATAAGGCAAACAGTATCCTCACCCTCATGGGGTTTCCACTTTGGGATGAAACTGGCATTAAAAATAATCACCAAAAATAAACTCGCAGAGCGCAGCTATTAGAAGCATGACACAGACAAGGCATATTACCTCAAAACCTCCTAACAGCCACCCTGCTAGGCAGGTAAAGGACACTCACGGTAAGTGGAAATGAGCCCTGAGAAGCTAATGAACCGCAACGCTCTCGGGAGTTAGGAGCAGAGGTGGGACTAGTTTTTCTTAGGGATCATGCTGGGGTCAAGGATATAAAACAAATAAACTCAATTTCCTCATTGTAAAATGAAGAGAATTCTCTCCGTCGGGGCCATGAAGATCAAATCATCTAACAAAAGAAAAACACTTAGAATGGAACCTTGTACCAAAGGTTCGTTCAAAACACATGCTGCTGCCACAAAGTCCCCAGAAAGCAGATAACTGCCAAACTTCGATCATGCGAATTCTCAGAGAAGGTGCCTGAAGTTTTCGTGAAAAAGAGTGACTAACACTCGAGTAAAACGAGAGTAAGGATCTACATGGATTTTGAACACGGGGTACCTGTGTATCATGGGGGCCAGGGCACTCCGAGGAAATAGCTCGGATCATGCGTGAGCACGCATGGCTAGGGGTACACTGTAATTGCTTCTTGGGTTTTGGAATATGAGAGCCCTGGAGGAGGGGGAAGAGATGAGCTGGCTAAACTCAGAGAATAATCCCCTTCTCTATGGCTGTCAGTGGCTCCAGGAGGTGATGAGAGAACAGCAGAGCCAGAGCAAACCTCTGAGGCCCAGGTCCAGACGCGATGGGCATTTGGACCTCCATCATCTGAGAGGTGAAACCCCGATCGTGTGCCAAATTGCCTCTTTAGGCTCCAGCCTCTTCCCACTGTGGACTGTTTGCCTGTCTGCAATGAGATAATTTGTCAGACACCAGCTGCTGATCGCTCCTTCCTCATGGGCACATTTATTATTATGTTACAATGCGCATGAAGAATCTTCACCATCACTAGCGTGAAAATGATTAAAATGTGGGGTTTTTTTGTGCCATTTTTTCCTCTTTGTAGAAATTCTCAAGCCTTCCCCTGTGCCAGAGACAGCGGCATCAGTCACAAGCTACGTTGGGGCGGGGGGGGGGGGAGCAGGCTGGAGAAGAGTCATTGTCATAATTAACAGAAGGACCAGCAAAGAATTCCAAGGTACAGAGCCAAACAAGGAGGTCTGTTTGGAGTCTTTGTGATCAGACCAGGAGTTCAGCAGGCTTGGAAACTGGGCTCTGGTTTCTGAAGGAGTGTAGAGGATGGGCTGGCTGGCTGGCTTCTAGAGCCACACTGTGTCTAATTATGTACCAGGACGCAAGAAAAGGTGTGGGTCTGTCTTTCCAGTTCAGAGGGAGAAAAAAAAATAGACGTGGTGTCTCGCGTCTAAGAAACGAGCAGGCTGACCTTTTCAGAGCATCTGAAAGAAAAAACCAGATGTATTTCTCAAGAGTCACTGTGACTGAAGGCTTGCATTGTGTGCGCACATAATGGGAGAGCTCACCAGAAAACAGCAGCTGAGGATCTGAAGCCAGGCTGTGCTATTGTCCGGCACACAAATGTTCTACAAGGACCGAGACCACCATGCAGCTCTCTGTGTACAGACTATGGAGCTTGGGGGAGCGGGTTGCAAGGGCTTCTTTTTCCTCCTTTTCTTTCTTCCCTTCCTGAAACCTTTTCCTTCCAATCTCTCTACAGTCGCTCCCATTCAACCATCAGCAATTCTTCCCATTGACCCTCCTAGCTTCCCAAACGGGGCGGTGGGTCTCTGAAGGTTTTGTCTTTGTACTTGGCAATCCCATGTTATACAGCCGGGCTCCAGGAAGGAGGTGAGGTCTCAGCTCCCCGGGGACAGTCACGGGGAATTGAATGGCTGTGATTTATTTTTCCACAGAGCAAAGTCAAAGCCAGGCAACTGTGTGTGCTGGGAGAATCTTCCCAGCCTCACCGAGGGCTGCTTTTCTATTGTCCTCAGGGAGGCTCAGGCAAAGGTTGATGGTGATGGAGAGGGGGAGGGAGCAGTAGGAACAAGGGGATAAAGAAGAGGCAGCCATGGGAGATGGGAAAGTGAAGTCCTTTCTCCATTCTAGCTCAGTTCTTTCAGGCTTTCTCCTACAGCCTTTACTGTTTTGGGTTTAGCAAACACAATAAAGCTCTTTTACACACTGTAAGGTGTTTAAAGAGTGGACGTTTGTCTTGTCTTTCTCTTCGCTTTCCCGTTGCACTCAGCATTCCTTTTGCACTACACAGGTTCTCAGTCAATGTCTGCTGAATAGATTAGCTCTGTGTCTCCTCGATCATTGCATTCAACTCCTCGCTGTCACTCACAAGCTCCTCCGAGCAGCAGTCTCCTTGACTATGTAAAGTCCCCTCTCTCTTCAGGATCTCTTTATCACTTCATTTTGCTGATGTTTATTTGGTCATATCTATCGACATTTATGAAACATTTATTGGCCAGCACACAAAAACAATTTCTCTAGCAAGATGAAATCGTAGCTCTCTGTTCTTCTCAGTGGTCTGACTACACTTTCCCTAAAAGTCCATTTGGGGTAGATTCAATATTCCAGAAGCAGGATTTTATTGCCTTTCTGACTAGGAGCAGAAATTTCACTTCCTGATGGCTGAACACAGGACTGCTCTGGGGAACAAGCCACGGGTACTGTCCCTGTACTTGCCAGGTTTTGTATTTGCTGTAATCCTTTGTACTAGAGAGGATTCTAATTATACAAGGGCACTCCAGAAAGTTCATGGGAAATACAATCAAAATATCAATGAATTTTGTTGAAAAACAGAAATGTGTATACAGTGGCATTCAAAAGTTCACGACAAACACATACTACACGTTTTGCAGATGTATTTATTTGGCTTATTTTGATACTACACTTGATCTTAGCCAAAAGGCCGAGAAGCAATTATTTGGCTTATTTTGAAAGGCAGAGAGAAAGAGAAAGATTGAGAGAGAGAGAGAGAGAGAGAGAGAGAGATCTTTCATCTACTCCTTCACTTTTCAAATGGCCACAGCTGCAATCAGGCCACCCACATGGGTGGCATGGAATCAGAGCCATCCTCTGCTTCCTTCTCTGGCACATTACCAGAGAGCGAGTCAGGAGCAGAGCAGGTGGGACTTGAACACATTTACGCATTACAGTCACTTAACAAACACAGTTATGAATGGGTTTCAAATAGTTTTTGAATCGATATACTTACTTTTCAACTCCATTTTTGCAGGAACATTTTAAAGCTTTCTAACACGTTTTTGTTCTACCATATAATAATTTCTATATAGCAACAACAATAACAATGTTAGGTGGATATTTAGACATGAGCGACTAGGGAGGAGCCATGAAACACCTCCCCTGGGGTGAAATTGAGGACTCTGTGCTTTCACCCAAAACCAACCCAAGTCTGCCTACTTTTCTGTTTAGCTTATGATTAAAGTATCCTGATGGAATGGACGCTCAATCAGACTAGAAAAGCTGGTCAGAACTGTATGCCTACAAAGCCCAAAAGTGTACAACTCCCAGATGTTAATCAGAAATTCCATTCAGGATCACCATGGCCACATCACCACTCTGTGTTGCTCATACGTTAGGGATACAAATCGCAGACCAGGAAGAAAGAGTGCCATATGTTCTCTGAACTGGCCTGTTCCCCTTGGAACGTAGGAATAAACTATTGCTTTGCCATCCCTACTTTCCTCTCTCTGAATCACAATTCATTCCTCCATCAGTGAAAAAGAATCAAAGCAGGCTGGCTGCCGATAGTGACAATCATTAATATTTATTGAATGATTAATGTGTGTCAGTTACTATTTTAAAAGCTTTTCTTGCATTACCTTTTTCAATTTTTCATTTTGTGAAGATGCACTCCCAGTGTCAAGAAGGATGGTTGGCATTACTTGCGATCTAATAAATACTTGTGGAACTACAAGAAATAATGAACACCATACTGTTCCAAGATCACAACTACAAAATTCTGGAGAAAAAAAAAAGTTGCATTGCGAAAAAACAATCAAGGCAAAGGAACGTTCCTAATACATTGTTGAAAATACGGGTGAATCTTGCTTTGTGCAATGAAAGACCTAGAATTCTTCAAGATATTTTAAATTGTTATTTATTTAATTCTGAGAGCAAGAGGGAGAGAGTGTGAGTATATTATTCCATTCACTGATTCAGTCCTTGGGTGACTATCATGGCTTTGGGTCAGACCAAGGCCAGATCAGGGAACTCAAACCAGTGATCCCTAATGAATGGCAGGGACTCAACTCCATGTATGACTTTCAGTGCCTCACACAGTGCACAGCAGTACAAAGCAAAGCTGAATCTGGAGTAGAGTCTGCCTGGAATCCAAGCTCTGGGATGGGTGCTTTAACTGCTGGGCCACTCCATAAGCTATGTTCTTATTTAAACTGCATCACAGAGTTAAGCTATTATGAAAGAATTCTGTTGTGAATTCTTTTGCTAAGCAAAGAATCATTTTGTAATGCAAATAAATCACTCCTCTCTTCCAAAACAATAATCACTGGCAAGAACAGTACGCATGAGCATCCTTCAGAGTGCTTTCCTGCATATACAGCTATGCATATGCTTACATGGATTTTTGTGGCACTGAAAATCTCAATGTGTTGAACACCTCCATAGTGATAGATCTCTTAAAAGCCATGAAGTAAACATTCCCATTTGAGAGATTAGGAAAACAGAGATTTAGGGAGACATAGGAATTTGGCCAGGGAAAATCCCCTGACAGTTCTACATGTCAAGTGCTTCTCGGGAGTTCTGTTATCTTAAATCATAAGCTAGGCTATTGATATTTAGAGCTGGTCTGACTTCTTGGATTGTTCCTCAATTACAAAAATCTGATGCCTAGATTCACCCATTTATCTAAATGCATTGTTGTGGTTGAAGGCCTTCCATAATGCCAGGCATTGCTCTGGGGACTGGGAAATAAGGCAAAAGCAAAAATTTCTGCTTTCAAGAACTTTTCTTTATTTACTATTCAGAATTACAGCCACCTGCCACATGTGACTATCTGGATTTAAATTAATAAAAGTTCCAAAAATTAAAAGTTCAATTCATCCATTTCATGAATTAATCTCAGACACTCCAGCTGTTGAGTTTCAGCTACTCTGACACATGCAACTAGAGGCTGACACAGACTGTGTGAGCTGTTGTCCCTTGCAGAATGTCTTCTTAGTTCTGCTCTAGATGGACCAAAAACAAATACATAACAGGTGGCAGTAAGGGCTGTGAAGACAAAGCAGGGTTGGAGGACAAGCAGAGAGGGGCAGCTCGTTTATATATTCTCTTAAGGGAAGATTCTGTAAGCCAAGGCCTGTATGGAGAATGGGAACGGGTACCATAGATACCTGAGCGATGAGCATCCCAAGTTTGTAAGTACTGAGTTCAAGAGCCAAGCCTGTTAAGTGTGTGAGAAGCAGTAGGGAGACTTCTTTGGCTACAGAGGAGAGTCATTGAACGAGGGACAGGGCATAGGGTTGAGTTCAGAAAGGAAGGTTTGGTGAGAGCAGGCAGGGCCTTTGTTGGCCATGCTGATCCTTGGAGCTCCAAGAGCAGCTATTGAAGTCTTGTCTTTTCCTCCTTTCAGACATTCTCCCTGTTTTCCCCTGCATCCCTTCTCCCTCTGAGTTGTAACAACCCCTGTGTGTTGTAACTTGTGTCTTTGTGACCACATCCCTCCTGCTTGCTGACAATCCTCCTGACAAAGTCACAATCTGCACCAGCATTTGGTATAGAAAGCATTCTCGCTGCTGTCAGCTCAGAACTCTGAACTCTGCAGTTCTGCAAGATACAGAAACTGGCACCTGGGAAACTTGGGTGTTATTAAAGTTTGCACTTTCTTGTTGGGGAGAAAATGCAGGTAATGCAAATTCCTTAAAACAAATCCTAGAGACAATTATTCACCAGAAGAAAGTGACATTTAACATTTATCGAGCACTTATTGTATACTTGGTAACTTTTTCAATATGAAGGAATTGAAATCTGGAACATCTTGGGCAAATTGGGCTGAGTTGTTCAGGTCACTTGTGGTACATCCTGTGACTATAGAGATAAGACAGAGTACTTGCCTCCAAGACAGCATGTGGAGTGAGACTATGTGAATATCTAAGTTCTTTGGGGGAGTCACAATTGCTTCCCATGCATACCCTCAGAGACTCAGTGCTGTGAAGATGGTGAGGGAAGACTTCCTGGAAGTAGCAAATACCCACTTGGATTCTTGAAGATGACTCGAGATGCCTTTCCTGTGGCCCCAGCTTCAGTGCTTTCTTGAGTGCTCTGTGGAGGTTCCTATAGGTATTCCAGCGCACACCTACATGCCTCACTGCTCCTTCCCAGTTGGAGAACCAAGTGCACCCAACTGAGAGATGCTGCTGGTTCTAAAGTGCTTCATATCTTATTGCTTTGTTTGATTAAAGAAGCACTACAAGGGAAGGGTGTGACTACATATTTGATCATGGGGTATCAATATTTGTGCTACAGGAGCCTGTTGAGCAAGTCTGTAATGCTTTCCTGGCATAGCAAGAACTGGGGGCATCCATAAGAATGTATATTCATCTAAATTCATGGGATGGAGAAGTCAGCCAGAAAGGCTTCTCAAAGGCATGATGCATCTTGCTCCATGAGTGCACATTTTTCAATTCGTTCTCAGAAGCAGACATTAAAACCTACAGCACAGTCATTTAGAATTTCAAAGATTTCTTCTTCAGGGGGTGGGACACAAAAGACACCACCGTTGTTCACATAATGCTGGGATGGTGAGGAACAGCAGCACACCATTAATGAAGCTAGGGCAGTACAGCTTTATGGAAAGGCAAGAGCTATTCTGCCAGATAAAGAGGATGCCTCATTACAGTTGCTTTAGAAAAAGATTATTATCATTATTGCTTTTAAAACTCACTTCTGTATTCTACCTAGGTTGGGAGAGCTTAAGAGGGGAAAGGCAATTTTTAAAAGTAGTTCATAGATCAGCAAAAAAAAATCACAAAATGCTCAACAATCAGGATGTGTGTGTGTGTGTGTTTCTGAGCTGAAGGTGTCAGTCAGAATTGAAAATAAATGCAACACCTAAATCAGGACATCCCTATTACTTTAAGGTAGATATCTTCCCAGTTCTGCTCTGTGTGGATTTCAATGGTGCCCAAAACTTAGCAAACACTTGGGAGGACCAAATAATATGGTGCTTCTCATGCATAAGGCTGCTGGTCCTCCAATATTATCTTGCATCATTTTTCCTGTCTTCTCCCTCTGCCTTTGTTTTCAATTACACGAGGCGAACGCCAGTTCTAAGTTGGAAAACCAGGAGCCCAAGCTGCAAGAACAGCCAGCAGACAACATTGTCTCTGAACTGCTATTGTTTCTATTTTAGGAGCACATTGAGTGATTAGCTTGGGTAACAGTAACATCACATTACCTTGCACAGGCTGGAAATGTCTTTCAATAAGGAGGCAACACCGAGGCCATGTGATACAATCCCGTAGACAGAGCCAAGTGGAATACATCAAAGAGAGCCTTGATGCAGATGTTTCATGCAGAAGAAAATTAGGTCAGAGACCACTTCAATTTCAGCTTCTGCCAGCCTCGTTTGAGAGCTTCCAGTGAATTCATAATGAATAGCTTCTAGGGCACTTTTCTCTCATTCAGTCACAGGCTGCCACAGCCAGATGAGCGTTCCATGTGGAATCTTCTCTCATTATTTAAAACTGCTACTTTGTGTTCTGAAATTCCAGAATCCTTCCACTGCACTACCACTAAGGGCCTGAAACAAAAAGATTCCAAAAATACATAGACACATTAATCTGCATCATATTCTCGTGCTGTCTCTCGCTCACCATCCATCATATACATACATGTTTTTTAATACATCTCCAAGCCCCTTTTTCATGTGTCTATGCAGGT